CTGAGACCGCACACGCGCGCCCGCGCGCCCCCACACCGACACCGAACCCGCACCCCCACCGACACCCCACCCACACCCACACCCACACCCACACTCCACCCCACACCCACACCCACACCACACACTCACATCTAACGCATGTCCACCTCACACTCACACCCACACCCCAAGCCTACAACCATACTCACACCCTCACCCACACCCACATCTGCAAATTTTTTATCTCGCACTCTTAGACAAGGCTGGCAATCTAGCTTTCCACTATCTTTCGATTTCCACTAATCGGGGATGAAAACGTTTGAAGAGTGTGTGACTATGAACCACGAAAGAAAGGAAATATCCACATTAAGCATGACACGTCCTAAAAAATTCACACTGTGGTTGACAGATTTTGAAAAATTTTGAGAGTTAAACTCCTCTAGACCAGATTACTGGTCGCGCCACTACAACGAAGTTTATTATTGTGAATAAACGATTTTATAGTCGTGTATGTCCGTCAATTTGAGAATCAATAGCATTATCAATATGAATATGTACTGTTGTTTTTTTATTCAGTGCTTCATATCGACCACATTGATTTTCTTTTCTTGCTGGTCCCCAATCATCCTGTGGTTGACTTGCATATGTTAACATTCGTAAGTAATGTGGCATATTAATCGAAATCTTATGAAAAAAGTCAATAATAAAAATAATGGAAATAATATTCTTACTTGATTTTGATAATTCTTTGTTGCTTTCCATGCTTTAATAAATTCATGGATCATAATAGTAGGTATAAATATAAGCGATGCACAAACAAAAAGCCAACCGATAGCATTTGCATATGATGGATATACGTAATTTCCTTCAGTTGGTGGTCGAAATTGTATTAATGATGAAAAGAAAACAATCTAGATAAACATTTAATTTCATTATCAATACAAATTTTTTTATTGTTCACTTACAAGAATGATAATCGGACCTGATATACACCAAGTAAAAAACCAATACGGTTCTATTGATCGTCTATTCAACATCATACGAATATCTTCCATAAAATTATTAAAACCTATGTAAATAAAATGAAAATATTCGATGTACTTTTTTTTTGATACTCAACCATATACATAAACAATTACAATAAATTCGAAGAATCCACAAACAAGTACTGATATATTAGCTGAATATTCATTCAGTAATGTCTGCATAAAATAGATTCAGTTTAATTAATAACATGAAAGATATACATACGAATAAATAAATTCCACCCTACCAATAAAAAAAAATGTAAATGAAAATTTTCATATCACTACTTTTTTCTTTCTATTTACCGGTGTGCACATTGGAAGTGCTAATAAAAAGCCAACTATGCAATATCCAATTACAACAAATATTTTATAACGTCGTAGTTGTGTAAAAGTATCTAGTATACCAGATATTACTACATCACAGAGAGCAAACTGAATATTAAAAAAACAAAAAAAGAGAAATCTTCATTTTATGTTCAAAATAAAAACCTGTGAGTCAAGACCAAGTGTAAGCAGCATAAAAAAGAACATAATTGCCCAAAATACACTAATAGGCATCATTGATAATGCTTGCGGATAAGCAATAAAAGCTAAACCTGGTCCACTTTGAGCTACTTTATCAACAGGTATACCCGTTTGGAATGACATAAAACCAAGAGTTGAAAAAACAGCAAATCCCGCAAATACCTATTTTCGTTTAAATATAAAAATTTAATTTGCTGAATCAATAACTCACTGAAGTAAAACAATCACAAACTGTAACAATAATACAGTCTCTAAAAACAAAACCAAACAAAAATTTCTATAGACAATAAATATCAATAATCAACCTAAGATAATTTGATTTGAACTTATTAAAACTAGCATAAGCAAGTATTGGACCGAATGCTACTCCAAGGGAAAAGAAAACTTGAGAAGCAGCTGCAATCCAAACCTTAATATAAAACAACATTTAATTCCTGAATAATCATTTTCATATTAATAGCTCACATTAAATTCAGAAACTTTACTCCAATTTGGTTTTAAATAAAATAAAATTCCATCTGCTGCACCTATTTAAAAACAAAATTATAAGAATCTCTATCAATAAATTTATTAACCTGGTAAAGTTGCACCACGAATAATCAAAGCAATAATTACTACATAAGGAAATAATGCAGTAAAATAAACAACCTGAGAAAGAAAATTGATAAAAAAAAAGCTGTTAGTGCAGTTCGTATGGGATTAAAATGTGAAACACGATCGAGTTGCTTACTCACTTTGTAAATGAGGATATACTATAGTGTCTATCACAACCTGAGATGGTTTCTAGCTATCGTCTCTGATAGTCTCTAACTAGCCTCTGTCACGGTCTGTAGGGGGGAGTGAGTTCAAATTTCTACATCTATATAGTTCAACACTCCTTTTAGATTGTGTTTCACAAAAAAATATTCAAATTTCTTTAGTATTTACTTTGCCAGATGATTTAATGCCTTTAATAAGACAAAGAGCAACAAGTATCCATGCTAATAGTAAGCATAATGTAAGATACCAAATTGGAGAACCCATTTCTTCCAATGAATCACTTCTTCGTAAAACATAGTTACTATCAATATATTTCATTCATGTTAAAATAAAATTACTATTTGAAAAATCTTACTTAAAATATTCTTCAGGTGAAAATACAGGTGTTGAACAATTATTTGATTGATTAGTAGCAGAACAGAGAAAACTTTGTGTTGAGTTCCACGATCCATCTAATATTATAAATAAATATAATTTTATAAAACTTCTTTCTTTTGAATACAACCTGCATTTGAACAACGTGCTGTATTCCACCAATTTCCGCAATCACTCCATGGAAGTTTTCGTTGCATTGAAGCAAAAAGATAAAATAGACACCAAGCTATAATTACATTATAATAAAGTGAAACAAACACAGAATTAATTGCCGTTGCCCAACCAACTCCTAATATAAAATATATATTATCTTCTCAGAAATTAATATGAAATATCTTCATTATACCTTTGAACATACGTGACATTGTAAAAGCAGCCGTTGCACTACGACTAGTAAATTGACCAAGTGATAATTCAAGAAAATAAAGTGGTGTTCCAACAAGAAAATATATACAAAAATATGGTATAAGAAAAGCCCCTATATCAATAAAACATGTATAATAGGCAAGATAGTTACCATATATTCTTACCACCCCCATTACTAAATGCTACAAAAAAAAATGAAATAAAAAAATTGAATGATTATAATATTTATAGTAGTGGCAAAAAGTCCTGCTACCATGTAAAAAGCACCTAGACTTTCATCATTTGACCACAAATAAAGCATGTTGAATTGTGATCTCAAGAACCAATCAAGACTTGATTGGTCTTCATGCGGAAAAGCTAGACGATCGACATATTTTTTTCTTCAAACGAAGATATTTCAGCATAGGAAACAAGTCTCATGGCGTTAGACCTCTCATTCAAGAGCTCCGTGCTATAAAAATTCCATGTCAAAAGGTTTTTCAGTTGATTAATCTTTGGATAGTCTAGACATAAGAATTGATGGGATTTGTCAAAAAGTGTTTCATAAATCCGACTAATTTTAAGGTCCCCCTCCCCCTCAAAAATCGATCTCAGCCCAGATATGTTCAAATGGGCTGAAATTTGGAGCATATGTTGGGGCTGAAGTGAGGAGGCTGTGGTAAAATTTTCAGCTCGATACTATGACGT